TGCGTGCGTGCGTGCGTGTGTGTGTGTGTGTGTTATATGTTATTTTTTTTTTGTAAATATGGTATTGGTATGAAATACTCATCATCGAAAGCAGTGACTAGTGTGTGTGTGTGTTATATGTTATTTTTTTTTTGTAAATATGGTATTGGTATGAAATACTCATCATCGAAAGCAGTGACTAGTGTGTGTGTGTATTATATGTTATTTTTTTTTTGTAAATATGGTATTGGTATGAAATACTCATCATCGAAAGCAGTGACTAGTCCCTGCTTGAGACCATGAGTGCACACAAGGTAAGTATTTTTCTCCTAACATAGTCTATATATTATACGTTAATTTGAATTTATGTAATGAAATATCAAATACATTTTAAATTTTGCAAAATTTTTACACTACTATTCAATAAGAATTTTTAATATAATAATTGAAATTCAATATATACTATGAATTACTGAGAAGAGAAACTCTATCAAGAATTATAATATTGAGGTAGCCTGACCCCACCCAAAATAAGTAGAAAATGAAGAAAAATTTTAAATTTTATGTAAACCAATTTCATTACCTGGTTTGTAGAATTTTTTATTTATGATATATATATATATATATATATATATATATTAAAATATAGTGATGTGTACATAGAGTGTGACACTCTCTACCCCATATATAAACACAAACATATAAATTAATTAATGAATAAAGAAAATAATTTTGAAAATAACTTTATTGAATAAACAAAGCTTCACAAATCCTCTCGAATAGGGGTATCATATAATAGAATGAAACCAAAACAATAGACAAAATAGAGATCTAATAGAGTAAATACAAAGTGGAATCTAACATTAAGCCCTAACTTAAATCATCTAATGAAAAACATGAAATCCTAATTACAATCTTGATGTCACATCTTATTTGAGCTCAACCCACAAACATATAACGATGCTTAAGCCTTGTCATCAACATTATCATTAATATGATCCTCACCTACAAAATACACATAGAAAAAAAATAAAAGAGTGAGAAACGTTTCACTTTTCTTATTGGTATGAGATAGAGCTAAATAGTCACACACAAACAACAACATAACATAAGTATACATATAACATTTCAATATAATATTCATCACAGTTATAACTTTAAAAAGTAATACAATGAACATCAACATAGCCACAATACTCATAATCACACAATTGTTATGAGCACAAACTTCATTAGACTATATGTACATGGCACCAAAGGATCTCATAACATGTGGCCCAAAGGCTAATTAATACTCATGGCCCGAAGGTGAATTTTCATGGCCTAAAGGTGATTACTCATGGCCTAAAGGCAATTACTCATGGCTAGAAGGCAAAATCTCATGGTCCAAAGGTGAATTCTCATGACCAAAGGCGATTACTCATGGTCTGATGGAAAAATCTCATGGTTTGAAGGCAAATACTCATATCTCGAAGGCGAATTCTCGTGGCTTGATGGCAAAATCTCATGGCCCAAAGGCAAATTCTCATGGCCCGAAGGTGATTACTCATGGCTTGATGGTGAAATCTCATGGCTCGAAGGTGAATTCTCATGACCCAAACACGATTACTAATGGTCCAAAGGAAAAATCCCATGGTTTGAAGGCAAATACATATAGCTTGAAGGTGTATTCTCATGGCTTGATGGCAAAATCTCATGGCAGGAAGGCAAATTCTTATGGCCCAAAGGCGATTGCTCGTGGCCTAATGACAAAATCTCATGGCTCGAAGCCGAATTCTCATGGCCCAAAGGTAAATTCTCATGGACCAAAGGCATTTACTCATGGCCATGATGCATGTTTCACATACAAGACTATATGCACAATTCTCATCATATCATCATCATCACAAGTACACGCCATGGCTTTATCACAAGCTCAAGTCATTCACATACTATATAATCATCACTTCCTTCTCATAGCACACATTATCATCATTTCACATCTCATCATTCATTAACGCCTCAAACGTTGCACACAACATTCTCAAGTCAAACATTAACATTGCACATAACATCACTCAAAATTATCTCATCACACATAAAGTTCCCATGTCATGCATAAACATTTCATATCTTGTACATCACATAGAAGCATCTTATATCCCACACACATGCACAAAAACTCAAACACAAAGTCTTGAAAACATAATTTAATACCTTTATCATAACCCACTGATAACTCATTCAAAAGTATCCCTTATCATACTTTCTCTTTCTTGGCTATTGGTATACGTATCTCAAGCCATTCCCAAGATTAAGAACTTAAAATATAAAACAACTCATCATTGTACAACCCAATAGATACCTCACACCCTAAAGAGAGAACTGTCACTCCTCTTAGCTTGATGAGTATTTGTAGACAAATGCAAGTCCCTGGAGTGGTTGCCTTCTAGATCTCTTGACAATTTTTCAATTTTTTCAAAAGGACAAAGCGTAAGCGTGAAAATAAAAAGCATAATTCACAATCCTAATTTATAAAGTTGTTCATTCCCTTATTTTCTTTTTAAATAAAATACAATAAAAAAACTTACAATGTAAAAGATGATTTTTTCCAAATACACTTAATTAAATAAATAATTAAAATATATAATTAAATAAATAACCACATTATTTCTTAGAAAATCTGCTTAATTAATTAAAACTTTAAATTAATTTATTTAGAAAATTTGGAGTGTTATATAGATATCACACATGAGCTTCTATTTATTAAAAATATATATTATTATAAAATTTAAAATGATAAGAAGAAAAAAATGCGTAGAAGAAAAAAAAAAAACTAGTTCATAATGACTTTTAATTTGATATAGGTGTTTATCTAGTTTTGGACAGTTTTTGATTTTCTTGGCGGAATTTATGTTCCATTACATTCGTATGTTATTCGAATAGGTAATTTGACCAATTTCCCGTTCAACTATTACTTAAACACACTTGAACGATCCAGTTTTCAACACAATTATTCAATGTGTTTGACTGGTGAAATTAGGTTTGGAACAATGATAAATCCCATCATACGAATTCAATTACTCAGGTAAATTGAATTGCATTAGAATTGACACTAATTTTGCATTTTTTATTAATAAAAAGTATTTTAACATGATCAAACTTAAAATATCATATATATATATATATATATATATATATATATATTAACTCTCTCATCTCTCATAATAAATTTCCTCTCACTTGATATGCTCCTTATATATATAGAGAGAAAGAGAGAGCATATTCCTTAAGCTTACAAAATGGAAAAGGAAAATATATTATTATAAAGGTGAAAAATATACAACATATGTCAAATGAAACTCGCTTCGCCCATCGGTATTATAATTTATAATACATTATTATAAATTATTTAAAATTAATTTAGTCTCGATCTGCTGCTCAAATCATAAAACTTAATGTATATATAACAATTCTTTAATCATTTCATGAAAGAAATGGATGCAAATAAAAAAAATATATTATGCAAGAAACTAATATTTAAAAGTAATCGATGAAATGTTGATAGAAAACATCCAAATAGGAATGCAAAAAGTTGCTCAAATTTTGAAGGTAAAATATAACTCAAAAGTTGAAGTAGAATATATATATATATATATATATATATATATATATATATGATAACTCTTTCTCATTATTTTTCATTATTTGTACGATCGCTACATTTATCGCTACGATCACACATGTTGACGACTCTCCACCATATTGATATTTTATTCATTTTTTTTTCCTTTCATTTTTCAATTTGGTAATTTTTTTCAGTTACTTTTTTAGGGCTTTACATAATTTATTTCATCACTAGCTATGTAATATTTTATTGAAAAACGTTTTTTTCTTCATATTTGTGTTGAAATTTACAAATGACAGATATTTTATTTGTCGTTAATATTAATGAATATGTTTGGGAAAAGAAAATAAAAAAATAATACTAAGGTCTTTATAGTTGAACAAATTTAGTGACCGAAATTGCTATATTAACTTAATTTGATTGCTAAACCATTTAGTAATAAGATAAATTGTAATCATCATGTTTTGGTCGCTAGATTAATCACTAACTTGTCTAACAACCAAATTTAACGTGCAAAGATTAATATATATATATATATATATATATATATATATAAAGGGTCATTATTTTTTATAGTCTTGAACATATACTTAGTTAATTTTTCTTATTTTTATTTCTTACCTCATTTTCTTTTCATATCTCATTTTTTTTTATCACATTACTTACCACATATATTTTACCTTTTCTGTCATCTTTTTTCCTTTTCATTCTATCTTTTCTTTTTCCTACCACATACACCCCAAAATGAAGTGCATGTACTTTTACCATTTATTGTTAAAATTTATTAAAAATCATAATTTTATTAATTTTACATTTCATTTAATAAATCTTATTCCTGATTTAGTGACAAATCAACTAAAATTTATAGCTTTTTAACTAAAAAAAAAAAGTAGTAGTAAGGGGATGTTAGTAAAATTGTGGTAAGCATTTTTCTAAATTTATTCCACATTGTACCCCTTCCACACCCAAGCTTCCTTCAAATGAATTGTCAGTGTAAAAGTATTGAATGCTATGAAGCTACCCAAAAATTAAGAAATTCTATAATTTTAGTAAACATTATGGAACCGCCCATAGGGTAGGGGGTGCTGGTTGTGTGACCATTAAAGAGGAGCAAACAAACCAAGATATTTAATTAATTACTCTCACACACACACACTCTCTCTCTTCACTTTATATATCTAGCCCCAACTCAAGAACTGAATCTCAACAACAAAATTAAAACAAAATTTATTCCACCTGGCTATAGCTTGTTTTGATTGAAGGGAATGGAAAGATTTGATAATGAGGAAGAACTTGTTGAGCCTGTGAGTCCAACAGGACAATACTTGACCAGCTCTTCACTGAGTGTGTACATTCTTGGTGTCTTGGAAGCTGAGATTCCCATTGATGACTCTCAAACCGTGCCACTGCTTCAGAATCTCTTCCTTCCAATCAACTCACGTTTCTCCTCAATCATGGTACACCATTTTCGGAAGAATTTTTGTTTTTAATATTATGTTATTAGTATAAAGTATTTATTAATTTTACTAATGTATAATATCTGTTGCAAAATTTAGCAAAACTGGGATCTTTCCTTCTACTTCATCTCTTAATGGTCTTTAATCAGCATATATAGTTATTTTATTTCCTATTTAGATGAAAAAATGTTGGGAGTATTTTGTTATCTTAAGATCTGTAGTCATGTTTGACATATTGGTCAAATCTGGTCTTAATGAAAGGGTTGTGAGGTTTAATAAGTTACAAGTGGGGATGTAATGATTAATGGGACAACATGTTTCATTTAATTTGTATTGTTTTTACTACTACGATACCTACGCTCATGCACAATTAATGTATATACCTAATTGATACTAATTCTATTAGTATTATTTGTAATGCAGAATAATTATATGTTTCTTTATATAAGATCAAATTTATGTTGTCTTATGTATCGATTATTTTTAAACAAAAATATCTTTAATTTCATAAGAAATATATTAATTATAATAAATAAATATTAATTAAGAGAAAAAAGTAGTATAATAATAATTTTGAAAATAAAATATAAAAATAAAAAATTATTATTATCAATTTAATTATTTTTTTTAATATTA